TATTTATATGTTATAATTTCAAGAATAGGTGCTCCTTTACTGGGTATTCATTCACTGGTAAGAGCTGTTCTTTCACTTGGTCTTCTTACTACTTGTTATTTTAACCTTCAAAACTTTAAAATAATATTATGTAAGTTCTCTACAATTTTTTTTACATAATTTGCAATTAGTAACAAATATGTTGACACTGTCATTTAAGTAAAGTTACGAGTTTTGAAATTAATATGATTTTTTAAAAGGCAAGCGAAGCTTAAGTGTTCCTTCACTGGTTAGTTTACCCTACCTTTTACTTGTAGTAGCCGACGGTTATCTCTTTATTATATATAATCTTTGTTTAGTATATCCTTTTAATCTATCTATATATATATTTCTCTAACATGGCACCAAAAAAAAGCCTCATTACAACTCCCCGAATGGCAACGTTAGAAAATCGACCAATGATTGCTGCTAAAAATGTCACATGGCAAATTTCACATGAGATGGCTCAACATATAGCGCTTTTAAGAACGGAAACAATAACCAGAGTGAGCATTATCAGGTTGTTCAATTCAGATAACTGTTCAAGATGTAACAGTAGATGTCGAAGAGTATAATATTGGCTCATTGACGGAACAATGTAGTTATTGTAATGCTTACCTCTAGGCCAAAGAAAGAAATTCTCCTGGCAAATATACGAAATGCTGCCACGATGGAAAAATAAATTTTAAACACACTTAAAAAGCATTACAAACATTACATTAAAAAACATTTCGCTAAAAAAGGAACGAATTCTAAAAGAAATAAAAAATAAACAACTTAAAAAATATAAATGCTGTTGCCAGCCATAGAATTTCTTGAAAGTTAACTTAGCAACATAAATCAAAATGATATAGAAGCGCATCTGGATCAAAATTATGATACCTGAGCGCTTGACGTAACAAATCCTTCAATTCTATAAGTGTTGTATCNACCCCGAACGTAATGACATCTTTCTTATTTTTCATCAACTGCACAGTTAACTTCGTCACATCGGACTACTAAATTGATCCGTGCTGAGGCCTTCAGACTTCTAGGAGGTGTTGTGTAAACAGAGTGCATTTGAAAACTAGATTTAAAATCTGTAGCCAAATCAAGATCTGTCGCCAATTTACTATGCAGTACACAGCATGTCCATTCCCCCCAAACAGTGATGTCATCTTCGACCAATAACGTGATCCGGCCGAAGTGAGGATTAATCGCTCGTCATGTTAGTGTTAGCATATTGTTCGATCCGCAAGATTAAGTTTATAAATTATAATTCATGTTTAAATGTAAAAGTTAGCATATATTATTGAGAAGATAAGAATTGTTTTATAAGGATTCTTTTTTCAAATTTTAGGTTTACATATTTATTATTGATCAAACCCCATGTTACTTCTACTTGACACTACTATTTCACAATTAATGTTAAAATTATATACCCTTTATATTTTTAAAGTTAATAAAATAATAAAAGCGTATTGTTCTTTCACTATTTTTCTTATTATCTAACTACATCTTTATTTGTTATTGCATCAGTTATTTAGACTTAGAATTAATTCATTGTAACGGGCAAACAGCTTCAAAATACACCAGAAACAGTAATCCGGAAGTATAGGCGGTAAAGAACCTGCAGCGCTCTCTTGTGTTGTAAACACCATCCATTAAATCATTATTTTTCCCGATGTAGCCAGAAATAATTTAACTGCAACTGATAATAAGTAATAAAGTCGTCTGCAAAAAGAGCGAATTTTAGAAAGTTGTTAAATAATAAATTCCTATTTGTTGCTATATAATATATTCTATCAGTCTTATATGGATATAACAGGTTAATTTTTTTTAAAATTTGTTATGTATTATATTTGTTATATATTTAAAACGATGTGACAAAGCTTTGTCTTTTAAAGTCTTACAGAGTATTGATCAAAATATATAAGAAATTAATAGTAATAAAATTTTTTTATTGTAATCTGTACATTGCTCTACAAAAATTTTTAAAACTTTTTGTTAGTTTATTGATACTTAGTAAGTACAAAATTCTATAATTCTATACTATAGCTTCTTTAAAAATATTTCAAATTATTTTGATATTTTAGAAGGGTTATATTTTTAATTTCAACTTCAAGTCTGTAAAAACGCGAGACACTTTCTTATTTTTATTCTACTATTGTAATTTAAGTAAAAGCTTTTAAGTCATTTGATTTAAATTGCTTTGACATCCAGCTCTGTGCTTTTTTTGAGTGATAGCTTTCTATGACTTCTAATTATTATTATGTGAATTATTTTTTAATTGGATTTTTATAGGTGAAATAAAGGAGTATGCTGAAAAAGAACATGAAGATAGAATAAAAGAGATATTGTTAATTCAAGATGGCTGCAGGCATTATTCTATTTCCGTAGAGTAAGTTTTTTTTTTTTAATCAATGAAAGCATTTATTTATTAAAAATTCAATTATGTAAAATTTAACTCAGTGTAGAATATTTTATAATAAATTTATTTATGGTAAAAGCAAATGAATTGGTTTTTTTGAATATTTTTATCTTCAATTGTGTACCATGAGTCTGAGCATTAATTTTTAGTTCCCCCCCCCCATTTTATGTTATAA